GGGCTGGTCTCAAACTCCTAAGCTCAAACGATCCTCCAACCTCAGCCTCCCAAAGTGCTAGGATTACAGTCATGAGCCACTGCATCCGGCTGGGAACACATCATATCTTAACCAGAGATGATGTTTTTCTTCCTGATAGTGCCCCGGCTTGGTTGATGAAAGGGATTAACCTCCCCGAAAGCAAGTAGGGTTCAGTGGTTTATGTGGGGCTTTCTGTGGGTGTTGTTTTCCTCGTGCAGGCATGTCTCAGTATTGGATTTTTTAACCAACAGAGAAACATGGCAACATTTTTTCTTTTGTGCAGAAGTCACTGCTTCCTTGACGAGGCTGACATTCAACTCTTCTTCCTCCAACCATAGTGTCCGTCAAGGTTTCATGAGACTATGTTAATGGCTTCTAAACCTGCTCATGTATCAGAATCACAGGAGGTAATGCATGTACAGCACTCAGCACTGCGCCCGGCAAGTGGCCAATAAATTGGAGTGTTAAGAAATGGGAGGAGGGTCTGGAATGCCAAAGGCAACCCCCAGGTGGCATCTGTCTGGTGCACAGCACTTAGTAGTGCTCAGTGAATGGAAGCCAGCATTTACGTAGCTATTGCTGCTGATTCCCTCACATTTAACTTTCAGGTTGACCATGTGAGTAAATGAACATGATTTATATGTATATTTATTTATACTTCTGTAAATCATCAATTCCAGCTACACTTTGACCAAATTTTAACATCTCTGAAATAGAGTGGAGTCTTATATTCAATCAGTAGCATGCCATAGGGGGCAGTGTTTTTCTTTCTTCATGCTACATGATGTGTTTTATGATAGTTGGTGCCTTAGATTCAATAAAGTATGGTTATATTCTAATGTAATGGTTTTTAAACTATTTTTACTGCAACGTTTAAGCTCTGCAGAAATGCTTTTGGGGCTGCCCTACGCTCTGCTCCCTTGCTCCCGGCAATCCAACTTTTATTTATTTTATATAAGGGGAATCTTCCAGGATTTTGTTTGAGAGCAAGTTTCTGCTGACTTACAAAGTTTAAAAACTGCTAATTTACAAGAATGATTTGCATGATGATTTCCACTGTAAGATTTAAAATGGTTTTAAAACACCATAGCCATACACACCTGAGAGAAGGAATTAAAGGAAAACAATGGAATGCGAGAAAATCTAAGTGCTTTCCTCCAAAATTAAAAAATATTTGAAACTGCGTCAAACCTAGACTTGTAAATTTCCATTTGAAGTAAAATGCAAAGTTGACTTAAGCCTGTCATTGGTCCATAAGTGCATAAGGAAAATATCGGTTCTCAAATGTGCTGGCCCTAGGAGGGCATGACGGGGGCCAGAGGTTGTCCAGTGCTGACATCTCTCTTGGCCTGCTGGCTGCAGCAGAAACCATCCAATGCAGCCCTTTTCCCCTTCTGTCTGCCCAGTTGCTTTGTGCCATAGGAGGAGTGGGCAGCAGAGAAGCTTCGGGAAGAGAGTCCTGGGAGATTTTAGGAAGGGAGGACTTGTGCTGACCCTGGGTTGATATACTTGAGGTAGGGAGGGCTTGGGTTGTTAGCCACAAGAAAATCAAGAGAAAATCATAGCTCATGAAGTCTGACAGGCAGCTGGACAGAGGAGAGCCTGGTTCAGGGCATTTCTGGGGCTCAGGGGGCTTTGCAAGGAGTGGTTATGACCTGTAACAGGCGAAGATCCAGGAGCTCTGGAAAAAGATTCTATTCTGGAAAACTTAACGAGGCCCAGACAGAGAGAAATAGTTTGTGTCTCGGTTTGAAGATAGAAGTGAGGGACAATCAGAGGGAAGGAACAAGGACTCTCAGGCTGAAATTATCAGAGGAATTAGCTTACAGAGGGAGCCAGGTGGGGAGGCCTCCAGAAGCCTGAGTCATGCTTGAGGCAAGCCAAGGCGACTCAACTGAGGAACGTGAAACCGTGAAGCTGTGCCTTGCGTAACTGTGGGCTGGTTGGTGGCCCGGGATTCCCTTTTTATGAGGCACCATGGTTTGGCACCTTTAACTAACAGCTGCCTGTGCACCGTGTTGTGATGATTTCTTGGGGATGTGGGGGTAGGAAGGCCGTGAAGTTCAGGTGCTAAGCTTTGACGGGGAATTCCCCACCCTTTGGCTAGTGGCAGCAGAAATTACTCAGAGAAGTGGGGTCCCAGGTATGCAGCCCAGTGGAGGATCCTTGTTTTGGAGGGGAGTTTGATCACACCTGGTAACGCTGTTGGCAGAACCAGCTCTGTGGGAGCCGCGGGATACGACAGGCCTGGGCCAATCCTTTGACAGCCCCCTTCGACTCAGAAGTAAGCATTCCAGAGGGCAGGGAGTGGGAACCGCACAAGGAGCCAAAGAATTGGGCTTGTCCCAGCTTTGTGACATTGGGCAATTCATTAATCTGTGAGTCTCCGAGAGTCTCTTCTGTCATGTGAGACAGATCAGGAGTCGCAAAGGCCCTTCCAGGACTAAAATTCTAAGTTTCTACTCCACAGTGGAGGGAACAAGCACAGGAAATGAGTGTGGGCATGCTAGTCGCACCATCACCAGTGAGCACCATGGAGATGGAATGGCTGTGCGTCTCTCAACAGCTCGAGTTCCTTTCCTTTCCTTATTAGTAGAGACTCATCAGAAAGCGTATATCTCAGTGCTTTAGGACAAGAGTTGACAAACTTTTCCTGTACAGGGTCAGATAGTAAATATTTTTTCTGCTTTGCCGCCATGTGAACTCTTGTCACAACTTCTCCACTCAGCTGGTGTAGCACGAAAGCATCCATGGAAAATACATACAGGAGTGGATATGGCTGTGTTCCAATAAAACTTTATTTGCAAAGACAGGCAGAGAGCCAGATTTGTTGTTTCGAGGACACACACAGTCTTGGAACAGTGCCTGGCACACAGTAAATTGTCAGGCTTAGTTAGCGCTTGTTCTTCTTTTCAGCTGGAACCATTTGGA